ACATTTTAAAAAGAAAATTATTCTAAAATATATGTATTCTGTATTTGACAAACAGTTCATTCGACAAATGAAAACTCACAGGAATATGTTTCAGTTATTAGAACAGAATGATAGAGTTTTTATAATACTAGTTTAAAAACGCACTTCAAAGATTGCAGTGTTTGAAGATGTAGATTCTCAGGAGGCAACGGTACTGTTGACTTCTCCCCCCACTGGACACCAACTAACTATTTAAGTTGATTTGCATACAAAGCAGAGCTTGCAACATGATAGCTATTCATAAAGGGTGTTTTTTTACTTTTCATATAATACAGTAGTCACACCATGAGGCAGTTCATATTTGTCTCAGTGAATCATTAATTTTTGACAGACAAAATACTTGGACTAAAGCCAGCTAAAATTTTCTGTTATCTTGCATGTTTTATGAATCTATTCATATCTAAATGCAGCACTTTTTTTTGCAATGAGACATTTGTTTTTATACTAAAATATCTGAATTACTTTGAATAAAGCTGGAAATTATGTCCCTTAAAATAATTAAACAAATAAGACACCAATGTTTTTGTAAGATATTTACATCTTTTAAGGACATTCGGTAGACTGATTCCCCACTGTTGGTTCAACCCCAAAACCTGTTTGTATTCAAAATTAATTATGACAATGCATATTTATATTGAAACAAACTATGATAAAGGGAATTATATTATAAAGCAAAGGGCAAGGTCACCAGAGTTCAACTATGTTTGGTATTGGTAGCATAAATGATGCATCTATTACTCACTAACAAGCTTGCTTTCATGTTGGTAAAATTATCAACCAAGTAACCAAGTGAGTTATATTATTACTGTAATTTATGATGGCATGGTCACTTCATAACAAGCAACTTATGAAGAAATATTGCCTTCCAGGGTCAGCTGATTGGGATGTGTGGTAGCGTTGGTAGTGGTAAATCATCGATCATATCGGCCATATTGTCTCAAATGCAGCTAATATCCGGCAGCGTTTCCATTGATGGGAGCATGGCTTACGTCTCCCAACAACCATGGATTGTTAATGCCACATTTAAAGAAAATATATTGTTCGGTCTTCAATATGATGAGCAGTTATATGATAAATGTATACGTGCATCATGTCTTCAAGACGATATTGATAATTTACCAAATGGCATTGAAACTGAGGTATATATGATGTTATGTTTTTAAATGTCTTATCATCATTTCAATAGGCAATATTAAATAATTATTGTCCCTGGCCAACAAATCAGTATCAGTATCATTTGTATTATTTATTATACGGAATATCGTTTTGTAAGAGGCTATACTTCAAAATCTCTCTTGGCCCACCTTTTATTCAGACAAACCTCTGAATCGTGTCTACCACCTTTCTGATAGTTCGTTTGCATTTTTATATTTCATTATCTGTTCTAACATTACTATCACATTTCAGAAAGTGCGATGTTTACGTATATCGCACATGTACACAACATTACACGCTAGAGCCACTCATACCTAAATAATTTACGCATTTAAAAACAACACATTTCCGGAATGAATGTGGATGCACAATGATTTCATTATAGTTACTACCACAAATTAACACTGGCAAGATTGCAGACAAAAAGATGCCGTTGTTATGTATTGAGCGCGGTTCAACAAATAACATGGGGGTTGAAAAATAACTCAAAATGGGTGAAAATGTGTCGCAGGTCAAATAACAGGACCCCAGGGTGTCACACTTGTATTTCGAATCATCAACCAAAACGATAGAAACTTATTTTTTGGTTATAACAATCACATTACTGTTAATCTGGTAGGATTTATCCAAAATATTTGTATCTCCACTAATCATTATTGTGTGTTTGTATGACATGCAGATTGGAGAGAGAGGTATTAATTTAAGTGGTGGTCAGAAACAGAGGGTGAGCCTAGCTAGAGCGTTGTATGCTGATAGTGATATATACTTATTAGATGACCCACTGAGTGCAGTAGATACACATGTTGGACAGCATATTTTCAATTATTATATTAAAGAAGCTCTGCAGGGTAAAACAGTGTTGTTTGTTACTCATCAGCTGCAGGTTAGTTTGCAATGTTCCAGACATGTGTTCTTCAATGTATATTCCAATTACGACAAGTGCATACTATGCCAATATAAACTCAGTTTTATTACATATGTAGGTAATTGTGTGAATAATTTATTTGGTGAATACTACATTGATATTCTATGTCTATGTATCAATGAGAACTGTTTATCCATTTTACTTCACTGGCGCCAAATATTCCATTCGTTGGTATTATTTACGTACTTACTAGGGGATCCCCTCATTCAATTTGAAACTTTTGTCAAACCACGGAATATTAGAATAACCACATACCCAAAAGTTATGCGAATCCATGGTCACTGAAGGGAATTTGCAAGAAAGGTCAAAGACAACAAATCAGTAAGAATAATTGGGGTATAGGCCACGCCGTAATCATAAAGTGATGTTAGGTGTTTCAGAAAGGGTAAGCTCTTTCTGTGTTTCATGTGGCACCCGCTGTGATGATCAAGTGGCTTCTGTTTGAAACCTGATGTGTACACCAGACAAGTGGCATTGGTGCCATCTTAGATCAGTATTGTCATATTGAACCATATGTTTTATATCTTTCAAACGTAGTTTTGAAATTTAATGCGAGTCGTTCTCTACAAAACAATAATAATTTGAATAAAATAAAACAATGTTTCTTTTAAAAATAGGCATATGCAATACAGGTCCTAGTTTTAACGAATGTATGAAGGAATGGAAATTTGTAATGCTGATATTAAAATCATCTCTTTTGTTATACATTGACATAAAGGACAGACCATAGTTACACAAATTATATATTATCCTTATTTTTGAGGTTATTTAGAAATATCATTAGAATATAAGTAGATTACAGATTACGAACATTTAACATGCACAGGGGAGCATAATTAGCAAGCGAATTGTATGCGTGTGAATTTACTAATTATCAAAAGCAACACTGACACTGGACACTGAGTGAACAAGGTGTCGAAACTTATAATAGATTTTATTTTAATCCACGTTTTCATTGTTTTTTTGTCATTTGCATAGTACTTGAATGGTTGTGACGAGATTCTGGTTATGCAAGGTGGCAGAATTCATGAAAGTGGAACACATAAACAATTAATGACTTCCGATGGTCATTATGCAAATTTAATAAAACGATTCCATACTGATGAAGGTATAGAAGAAGATGGTTCAATTGATATATCTATGTCGAATATCCCAAACAGTTTAAATAGCGATAAAAGTATCCTGTTTGAGCCCGACGTTCATGGTGGTTCGTCGGTGAAAATTGCTTCTTCCAGAATATCGATTGCTACCAGTGTTGATAGCATCGGCGAATGTAATGGTGGTAAGTTAAGTCCACATACATATTTTGGCATACTGTTCTACTGTATATTGTAATATAAACCATTTGGTAATAATAATAATAATAATAATAATAATAATAATAATAATAATAATAATAATAATAATAATAATAGCACTGCACACCTACTTATCAATTTAAACCTTACGTGTAGTTGGCAATGATTTGGTACGTTTTGTGTGTCTGGTTATCGTTTTGTGTCATCCTCCTGTTAGGTTTCAGGTTTTTGGTTAAGACCCGACATTAGAACTGTAAAACAGCAGATCAAAAGGACACACTAGAAAACATAATAATAATAAAGGTGCTTTTTCTTTCGGGGAGTAAGCTCTGTTTCCGGATATTTACTTATAATAAGGTTTAGGAACATCGAATGTGAGATTAGATGAGTTATGTTTCTGGCTGGGATAAATGGTGTCACAGCGCTCTGTGGGCTCAATGGTCTGTAGAGATACAGATCTGATATGTATGTATCAAGGTGAACTGTGTGCTGTGTGTTACTTTCAAGCACAAATTACCATGGGGTCATGGGTGTTGCTGCTCAACAAGAGAATTTTCTATTTTAACAATATTGAGGAGATTGTTTGTACTCTCCACTTCGATCATGTGAGAAGAAGATTGTTCTGCAAAACGGTTCTTTCCTTGTAAACGGGTACTGTTTTGAATAAATGTACATGAACGAAACGAAAGCTGATCGAAGGTTAACACACTGTGGTGATAATAATAGAGGCGAGACAAAAATTAGTATTACTACTATTTGTGCTTAATTAAAATGTTGGCACATTATGCAATTTTACACTTTGAACTACTTTGACCACGATTCTAAGGTGAGGATATAATACACACATATCATTTGTCTATCAAAAGTCTACCTAACATAATCAATTTACTAAACATAAGCACCATGATGCATCATGATTATTTGCTAACATTTATTACATACATTTGTGACCACCCGGTTACTTCTTTTGACACACTTTTAATTTGTTTATTTGATTATTTCTGATACTAGGTGAATTAATGACCAAGGAAGAACAATCAGAAGGCAATGTCAAATTGGCTACATATCATGGTTATATACAAAGCGCTGGCGGATATATGATTTCATTCTTCACAATATTCACACTGTTCGTGGCCCATGGTTGTTTTGCTGCTAGTAGTTGGTGGCTTGGTTATTGGATCACTCATACAAATACGGTATTTTTTTGAATTTAGTAAATTTTTAGGCTTATTCGTGATAGCTTACGGTACAACATAAATTGCGGAAATGGAATATGATTTTTTATGGCAGAACGTTATTGGGTGAAATAATACGGTAATCCGTGCATGAATCATTAGCTCAATACCAATAATAAGAACTGTGGAAATTTCAGTATTTCAACCTAATCTCTTGAGCATAAAATGACCAAAATTGTATCAACTTTTGCTTAAGAAAAATTATTTTGACATCAGTTTAATGACTAATGTATTTCGTTCTGTACATTCGTCTTGGCCGAATTTGCTCTAAGAAATGATGGTCGATATATGCGCTTTGATTTGCGATATACATATTTAACACTAATTTTACTAGTCATCAACCGTTTTTTATAGGCATGCCTTGGCTGATTTTGTTCTACTTTCGTATCAATATTACCCATGATAGTTTGCTGGTGCGCCCCAGCTTGTTTTGGAATTTGATTCAATGCCCATGTATGGCGTCCACGTGGGTTTTTATTTTGTTGTTGTATTGTTATTGTGGATTATTTTGATGTTATTAGTAAATTTTACTATATGGCTTTTGTTCACAGTTGTACAGGTGTGATATTTTAAATTTTCATAAATTGTACCATATGATATATCTACTTGACAAGATATGTGTTAATACACACTCTTGTAAAGTTCCTGTTTTTTACATTTCGATAGGACGGCAGTACTG